TTCATAAGGTTCATAAGGTTCATAAGGTTCAACATCAGTCGTCTAAAATGTGTGTTTTTCACAAACAGGAAATCTGCACAAGGCTACAGGCCATAGAGAGCTTCTGGTTGTTTACCTGGCACTGAMGACTAGAAAACAAACGTGAGCAAAATGTAGTTGACACCTAATAAACCCAATTGAAGTCAGGCCAAGAAGAAGCTGATTGAGTGCAGGATAATGTTTGTGCTTCAGYGTGTATTGTGATCTGCTCTTTAGGCAAGCATCTCTTAACACCAACTGAACCTCAAAAACTCAAAGAACTATGGAACCTGTCTCCAGCTGTTAGCACCCTGTCACCTCCATTCACCTCGGTGGCACTCGTCTTTAGCACACACACACACATACACACAAACACACATTTACACATGCACATACAACACTAATAGCTCCTTAACAAAAGCCTATCCTAAAAATCTGTTTGGCCTTTTTTCTTCTTCTTCTGCTATGATGCATCAGTTCCTAACAGGAAGGAGCACAGCAGGAGAACATGACACAATGTAAATAAAGGGCGGGGGGTGGGATCAAACATGGAATGTAGCAAAATATAAAAAAAACAAGCATTCCTTGAAGGAATGCGCCATGTGTTGCATATTAAAGTTTAAAGAAAGATCTTGCATCATCATTGACCCTCAGATGGGGATGACTCTCAGGTAGTATCACAATATATTTTAGCTCATTATATACACTGTATATGCATACTGTATWTAAAGACTGACAAACTAGAATAAGAGAGTTTGAAACTGGATTTGAAATGTGCAAGAAAATAAATGTCTGAGCATCCTCCTACTTATTCCACATACTGTAAATGCAACAATGTATATGGAAAGTCAGCTAAATGTTTTCATCWATCYACTTAATCAGTAAACAATAACATTCAGAAAAGAGTGTAAAAGCAACACAGGTAAAAGAAACTCAGTTAAAAGGCTCTGATGTGAATCCAAWTTTTAATACATTGCTCTATTTGGTAAGTGGAAGTAGGAGATCAACAGACGGATCAGTGCAACATCCACAGTACTGCAGACTCTATGCTGGTCCACTGTGGTAAYGGCAGAGCTGAGCTGCAAGGTGAAGTTCTCTGTTGACCAGTCAGTCTGTTTCTACACTCACATATGGTCACAAGCTTTGAGTAGTGACCAAAATAACAAGGCTGCAGAAACAAGTGGTCAAAATGAGTTTTCTCCACAGGGTGGCTTGACTCTCCCTTTACGACTGCGTGAGAAGCTCAGTTATCAGGGAGAGACTTGGTGTAGAGCCGCTGCTCCTTCATGTCAAGAGGAGCCAGTCTAGGTGGTTTGGGCATATATTAAGGATTTCCCCAGATGTTCATGCTAGAGAGGTTTTACGAGCATCCCCAACTTGGAGGAGACCCCAGTGAAGACCCAGGGCATGCTGGAGAGACTATGTCTCTCAACTGGCCTGGGATTACACTGGAGACCTCCCAGAAAAGCTGGAAGAGGAGACTGAAGGAAAGAGAAATCTGGTCTTACCTGCTCAAGCTGCTGCTCCCACAACATGACTCCGGAACAAATGGATGGATGGATGGATGGATGGATGGATGGATGGATGGATGGATGGATGGATGGATGGATGGATGGATGGATGCAGAGGTGATTGCTCTAAGACTGCAAGGGAAACTCAGCTTCCCCTAAAAATGTAAAAAAGATCAAATATATACTCTTGTGTGTACATGTCATTGACTAAATATGCACTACAACACGCTCAACTTTTGTTCAGAATCAGCTTTTTATCACTGGTAACGACGCAGCTTTCCTCTCTCATTCCTGCCGCTTCACAGTGATTTAAACAGTCAGACACTGAGCTTCCACAGAGCTCATTAGCGATGCAAAAAATGCAGCGAAACGAGACGAGTTATTGGATAAATGCTGGGCTTTGTCCCACCCCGAGACGCTCAGCGTCTCTGGGGATCTATGGGGCAGTGGGCTGGCTTCGGCTGGCTCAGACGTTCAGCTTCTGTATGATGATTGGATGATCTGTATGAGGCTGAATCCCTTTTTGATTAACAGTGAAATGAGCGAATCAGCAATCTTTTGGTGTAAACATTCAGTGGGAGCAGTTTTGAGTTTTGTTTCTGTTCTGAGTTGAACCAAAGACTTTATTAATCCTTTTAGCAGCGTTTTCTTTGTTAAAAATGACTAGCAACAAATCAAGCTTTTATTTCTGGTGGGTATTTTGTAGCTGCTTATGTTTGGAGACWGACTTCTATCATTCTTTCTGATTTCTTCTGTCTAGCGGCTGCTGCTGAGCCCCTTCACCCGTTATAAAGCACTCATAGACGGACACACTTCACTCTAGCCTCACACCAGTCCCAGCTAGCGAGCTAGCTAGGTAGCAAGCTGAACATATGGCAGAAAGTTTGAATGTTGTGGACCGGATTTTGGCAAAGCCATTTGATAGTCTTCCTTACGACAAAAAACTTAGAGTTAAACAGCAGGGCTGATCAACTCAGATTAATTTGGTGCAAAAGGTGGGGAAAAGTAACTGGTCTTTTCAGCTGCCC